GTCGAGAATTTGTATACTTAAATATTAAGGTATAAAATAACCGTTTATTCTTAATACGATACTAATTTTAATACATTAAGAAGGCCATGAAGTGGCCAGTAATATCATAAAATACATACTTTAACTGTATTAATATATTTTTAATTTAAGTCATATCAATTTTTTCTTATCGATTTAAATATCTTACCCATTTGGCTCGATCTTTTATCCCTTATAAATTTGGATAAAATTGAGTTCGCCTCAAAGAAAATTGAATAGAGATTGGACTTGTCATGCAAATTTTTATATTAGTAGTTAGACTGTATCTTTTTTTATTAAATTCATAGTCAATTTGAAGGTTAGCCGGTCAAATTGAAAACAATATTATTATTCAGTAAGCTATATATTGGCATAGCTAAGTCTATTTAATGATAGTGTCTATGAAATCTTTAACTTATAATAGTTAAGCGGGCACCTCGCTTTTGTCACCACGTTGTGTTATGGGTAGGTTTGGCATAGAGTTTTACATGCACGAAGAACGTAACTCTGTAAAAATAGAGCAGGAAATGAAATTGCAGTTGCTTATCGCTTGTATGCTTTGTTTATTAATTGAAATATACCATTATTCTTCCCTAATATTGGCAATGTTATTTTACAAAACAAACACTCCTATTCAAAATTCGAGAATGTTTGAAATAGGAGCACTAACAGATTTAAAGCATTTAGTTTTTTCTTTTAATAAACAAAAAACATAGAATACCGTAGAATTCATAACCAAGTATGTGACAAATTACTTTAGTTTTTGAAAGTATGCATAATGAGCGATTACACTCATGTGGGATCGTAAGCAATCATGAGCAATCAAGAACACTGTTGACAAGTATAATCGTCCGTAAGTAACAATTTTTATGAAGCAATAATATGCTTTTGTTTAATTATAAAATACAAACATGGCTAAATATACTACAAGGCGGCTTTACAGACATAAATTGCAATTATGTTGTATGTTAGACTGTCGCGCGTCGCCTTAACAGACAGCCTCACCTGCCCCGCTTCTATTATAAACGTAATTATGAATTAAGGACCCGGGGCAAATGAGACGAGATCAAACTGGAAAGTAACGGTACTAGTCTTGAAGCTAAAAATATACAATCAATGTAGGTTAACTGTCGTACGGTTAAGGAGAAAACACTACATATGTGAAATATAGTTTTATGTTTTATACCCAAAGAGTACTTATGTAAATATTATAGTTTAAAGGTTTGTATTTACTACAAGTAATTTTCTAATAATAACATTAACTGATGTTTGCCAGATTTTCATTAGCAAATTTAAAGATACAGATTGCGAATCTTGTTGATTGATTCTCAAAAATGTTTTTTCTTGGTCTTTGGAATTTTAATATTCGGCGATTTTTTTTTTTGATTTTATATAAATTCGTGATTTTTACTACTCGTTCAAATTGAAATAATACGAAAAATAATAAAAATGATTTTAATAAGAGATTCAACTCTCATTGTATAACTACAAATTAATATGCATTCTATAGTAAGTTAAGGTCAACTTGTCCGTCTTGTTTACCGAACTCTTGGTTGACCATTATTATAAAAACTATTCTTTAGAGTATTTTCATCAAACCCAAAATTAAATCAAGGCTACATCATAGCCTGCATGCACCCAGTTTTTTACAGTTTAAGCTATTTTTCTTATATTATCTGAGACTATCAATAATTTATAAAGAAATAACCATACGTTACTGTAAATAATGCTTTTGTGTGCCCTCAAAAATCAATATACCCAATTGTATTTTTGCATGTGGCGTAACATTTTAACAAGGACTACTACTTGACTCACTAATACGCTTGTATCAGCTAAGAAAACAAATATTTATAAAACATTTTTCTTCATTTTTAATGATCAAACCACACAATACGGATGACTAACTGATTCTTACATTCTTTTATATTTAATTACCTATACTGTAATAAATATTTTTGTATCTGCATTTTAGACTATAAGATGTTTCATTGATATTCCATTACATTATTAATTTATTTATTAATTTTCCATTTTAAGTAGCTTAATTTTGCTTCTTTCGAGTACGGCGTTATTTTCACTCGTAAAAAGTATTTATGGCACGTTAGGTTTTTAAAATACAGTAGACAAAGATCGTGTTTTGTAATGCGCATAAACATGGTCTATGGAGTGCAGTAAAACGCGGCACAGCGCGGGCCACTTCGCGATCCAAGAAACACTCATAAATATTTTGTGGACTACCAGAGATACATGCAAATAAAAATATGTTTAAATAAAGGTATAAAAAGTATGTGTATGGGATAAACAAGGTCAAAGCTACATCGTGTTATGCCGTCATTCACAACTGACCAAAAAAAAAAGTGCCTGTAGATAAAATTCCAAGCTTTAAAAAATCCATATTTTTCTTGTTATTGAACACTTCATTTTTATACTGTACCTACGTAAATGAGACTTATTCTAATTCAATAATGGTAACTTTCTGTAATTTGGCGAATTAACGCAATTAATTAAGAAAGTTATTAGTGCTTTCAATTACCTGATTGCACTAATTAGTTAATTGATGGTTCACAACACACTCTAATTTCAAAAACACATTAAAAATGTAGCTATTGAACTCAAGTATGAGACTTGAGACAGAATACTCAAACTAAATATTTTAGGCTCTTGTTGTAAGGCACTTTATGTAAGATTGTGGTAGTAGTATTTAACTAACTTCTCTTTGAATGCCAACACAATTAAATAAATTCATCTACTACCGGGTGTGGCTTTAAATACCCAAATGATCTACACAAAAATTGTGTAGAACTGCGTGTTACCCTCTAAATAAGGTAACTCTTTCAGCTACTGTGTATATCTTATATTATTATATTGCAGTACCAGAAATAAATTTATTAGGAATAAAACCTCGTTTTCAGAAACAAAAATATAAAAGAATGCGTAGAGCCGTATCGCATGCCGATCAGACGAAAGAAAGTACGCGTCGGGATGATAGCGGCTGCAACTGGCTGGACCGGTCGCGCTCCATTGTGGTCACTTTTTGTACACCTTTCCCCCTCTCACCTCACCGCACCTCTGTCTCAGATCACCACCTTCGCCAAAAATATTTTGTATCAAGCTTTTAAACATAACCACAATTGATTTGTACATACAGTATTTACGTACACACACTCTATGGCTGACAATGAAGATGAATAATAAATAATAAAAACAGCCTCTGACTCTCTCCTAAGGCTCAATCAGAAATTCTTTGACATTAAATATTTATGCCTTTTAAAAACAATACTTGTACGTATTTAAGATAAATAAAACAATAAAAATCGAGAAATGTTTCGAGTGGGGAAGAATCCGAAATTTTTCGAAATACATAGGATTAATAGATTTATCTTTTATAAAAAATGCATTGTTGTAAAATGTATGTCATGTAAAAGTTATCTCTCTTTGTGTGTACTCTTGCTTGGGTATACTTCTTATGGACGTCTGTAAGAGTAGGATATGGTTTAGAAGTGATGTTGTCGACATTTCATTTGTTGCTCTTTTATATTAATACTAGAGATCCGGCTGGTATCCGTGTGGTGACGGATTAATAATCCAGTGGGTGTCGTAAGAGCCGAATAAGGGAGCAAACTGTGCATAACAACAGCACTGCAAAAAGAAGGAAAACTTGAACAAACCCTATACCAACCCGTCTGGCCAGCGTGGTATAGTGAGCCAAAACCTCCATTGTTAGAAGAGGCCTATGTCCAGCAGTGGACTATTAGGGGCTGTGATGATGATCCGGTTGGCTTCGCACGGGTGCAAAGTAGGTACTTGTAACGTGGTGTCAGTGTGTAGTAATTAATAATACTATTATTATAATAGGACTATACTGCAGGACTACACTATAGGCCCGGTCCGATCCTGTCGACTGGACGTATGGCCCGAAGCGGCGACGGTTTAAAATGCTTTGCCCCCGCATTTTAAACCTCTAATATCTTCTAAAATATTATTTTTAATCATATGGTGTAAGGAGCAATTTTAATCTACATTAAATGCACAACATATCTAACGTATTTAATTGAATAAGTAATCATAATGTATTGTTTAAAATAGCTTCGTAAATAACCCATTATTTTTTTATAATATTCAAAAGATAAAAATGATTACTGTGGGTTATTATTAGAAGATTGACATATACCAACGGGACTTTTTTATAGATCTTTTTAAGATATACAATTCTGTCGTACATTATTTTGGTTTATCTAGTAGGAATTAGCCAGCGTTTGCAATGTAAGCGAGCAAAACCATGTTTTTTAAGACCAATCTTAGAAATTCTCGGCTTTTCTCTAACAGTAAATCTAGTAGTTATTTTATTATACATAGCTATTCCCTACTTAATAATAAAAAAATACTAGATTTACTATTAAATATACCAAATAGGGTCTTTATGCATCGTCTGAAAACAGCTTATTGGCAACAACGTGTGAGTAAGTAGCAACCCTAACCTACGTACGAATATATCACAGTCACTGTGATTTTGTCCCATGTCTAGTAAGAGGAAATCAAAAGCTTCAATTGATTACTATCATACCTAGCATTATCATTCTATTCAAAAATTCAAGTTTGACTCAAATAACTTCTGTAATTGAAATACGTAGCGCCATCTATTATTATATACTCATACTATAACAAATATTTGATTTCTATTCTGTTTGACTAAAATATTGTAACTTTTTCACCAGAAAATAAATACAGAAGAGGATTCGAAATAATTTTGCTGGAGCTTTACAGTCATATTAAATGATACAATTCAAAAATATAGCATATCGACTAGATTAATCTACCTATAACATGTAGACAAGGGAGCTTTTTGTGACATTTTATAACAAAAAGCAATACTACTTGTCTTTGGTTTGTAGTATAGAAATTGCAGAAGCAGTACTGTCAAAAAATGTCCTTCTGACGTGATTTGCCGATAAAACTTATTTGGATATAACACTTTTATAAATATGGGAGGGTCACAAAGTACGCGAAAAGTAACTGTTGACAATGAGAATGCTATACAAGTATCTCAAGAGGCATTAGATCGGATACAATCGCAACTTAATGCAAAAGTAAATATGTTTTTATATTACATAATTTACACCAATGTCATTACTTGTTTGAGATTATATTTGTGTTATATTGTTAAGCAAAGAAATATTCTAATATATTAAAAATGTTTTGGTGTCAAAATCTGTCAAGTTCATGGTCGTGTTGTAGTTAAAAATCAATACTTTTCTTACTTGTAGGTTAGTTTCACTGTGGCAGTGTTACATTTGTTTTCGAAGACAATTTCAGGTGAAGTGTTCTCTGCCAAAACGTACCTTCTTTTAAACCAATCTGCTATAATATTTTAAAAAGTTTCATAGTTTTTTTATTATCTACTAGCTGGTTTGTTATTATAAAGTGGTAATGATTTCATCATGTTCTTATACTTCCACAATTCCCGTATAAACATTAGAAGGCTAAATTACTGGTATTTTAAACTTTTCAAATCACATAGATTATTCTTTACATCATATAATCGTAATTTAATTTATTTTAATACTTTCTGCTTTCAATGCTTTAGCAAGGAAGATCAGAACATGAAAAAAATTAGTTGACAAGATACATATCTGCAATGCGAATAAAGATAATAAATAATCTTTTTTTTAAATATTTCCAGCAAGCAGAAAATCCATCACCACAGCCAGTACCACAATACGTACCACCGCCATCGTATGACTACAAACGGCAACAAGACTACGTTGCTGAAGAAGCATACTGGGCTCAACGCATTGAATCCCTAAAAAGGGCTCATAACAAAATTAGCAGCGGTATGCAAATGGAATATCAGAAAACGTTGAAAGAAGCGAATGATCTCTTTGGGTCAATGCAGGGTGATAAACAAATAAATAAACTTACTCCATGTCAAGAAGAGAAAGCTAAGGTAACAAGATTGAATAGACAATTATTTAGCTTTACCGTTAACATGGCAAACAAGCATACAGCTCGCTTAATATTTATATGTAGAGTACAGTATTATTGGTTAATAATACTGCAGTCTGTATTAGTGATGGAATAAAATTACAATCACCTGTTATAATTTATATAATCACAGCTATGACTTGTGTACAAAACCATTGCGACTGATGATTATGCTAGCGCTAGACTCTTGAAAGGTCTAAATCCAAAAAAAAATGGTAGTAGTCTTTGATGAAAGGTTGGTTTTATCTTAAGTTTTTGATGGCATTTATCTTTGTCTATGGCTAAATTCCAGTAGTGATTTATCACAGGTGAGATTGCATGGACTAAAACCAATCATTTCATCATATGATTATGCTCTAAAAGTAGCAAAAATTCCCATCACTAGTCTGTATACTACAGCCTTCTGTAATTTATTTAGCGTTCAATAGTGATAAAATCGTCATCTAAGTGTCAGGCTCTGTGATAAAATATATTATCACTATAATTAGACTTCTTAAGTATCAAACAGAAATCAACTCATGTTCTTTGGTACTTACTAACATTCAAAAGACAGAGAGACAGAGAGAGAGACAGTCTAGTAGTAACAAGGTTATCACTTTGATCATTGCACCATTAGTGCCATATATAATTTAAAACACATTCTCATACATAATGAAGGCTGCAATGCCAACAATATAATATTTTGTTTAATTTGCAGGTTCTTCAGTGCTATAGTACAAATCCAGAGAAAACGCTTTTATGTTCAGTGCTAGTGAATGAATTCAATGACTGTGTATGCAAGAGCAGGGTAGCAGCGGTCACAGCTTCTTCTTGAACTATGGGAAAAGTGTAAATAATTAGTCAAATGTCCCATATCTGAGCAATACTTAAACTAACAGAGTTTGCACATGGCCGTGGAGTAGAGTTAATATTAATGATGTATCAATAAACTGTTATTAATTTAACTTGTGGATTTAATTTATCAACAAACATATGAATATGGCAACAATTTCTGTAATCATTTTAACACTGCAGATGCTTCAAATGTTAGTAAAACCTGGAATATAGAATATAGTCATTTATTTGAGACCATTTTAAAACTATTTGAGCTTCTGCAGAAAGTGGGTTTGACTATTTAAATAATAATTACTTGATAAAAAGTTTTTCACCGAAATTAATGCGCCAAATCATGAAGTGTTATAAGCTGTATTCTTTGTTCTTAATTTTTAACTGAGTAGATACAATTTTTTTTATTAAAATAGGGTCACAAATGCATAAAAAAGTGTTGTGTACAAAAAAATATTCAGTTGATTACAAAAATATAGATTTATATTTCATCATCATCATCAGCCTATCGCAGTCCACTGCTGGACATAGGCCTCTCCCATTGCATTTAAGATTTATATTTAATAAATATTTATCTCTACGTGTAAAACTAGCAATTTGCCGAAAGATTAAATTTAACCGACTACCAAAACAAGGAGGTACTATGTCCGTAGATATCATAAAAGTTGGTAAACATTAAATAAAATACTGTATGTATTTTTAAGTACCTATGTTTACCGACTTTTATAATATCTATGATATTTATTTTAAAGACCCTTTTTTTATCCTACCTGACTCTGACGTATGTCATAGTTTTGTTTATTTTATTACCATCCAGTAAGGTATTCAATTAGTTCCAAGTTGTGCATTGTGTAAAAAGAAATTAAATCAAGAATTAATCAATTAAAACAACAATTACAATCAAAGACAGAACTGCGCAAATCGAGAAAAAAATGATAGCTAATTTTTGAATTAAATTTTGTTAGCTTATTACGATTAAAATGAAAAAGAAGATATAGATGAATACAAACGTAAAATGGTTAATTAAAAAAAAAAATAAGGACAAAGTTTTTTATAAGATTTTGGGCAAAATATTTTATGGTTACTATGGGTTGGTACTCTAAAAATAAAATACGAAATGAAAACTAAAATACTTTTTTTAGCCTTGCTACCTTCTGCCCTTATGTATGTGAATGTTTGATCAATAAATGTCATTTATTGATCAAACATTCCTAGTACTTGTCACCCGCTCTTCATTACCGAAGCAACAATGCCATAGCAATGGATTACTATTTGCCTGAAATATTGTACTAAATAAAGTATATACAATATGGTAGATTCAAATGCAAATGAGAAACCAATCGACGAAACCTGTAAAAAGAATCGTATACCTATATACCCGGGGTTCCCTGAATTGGAGAGATCTGACGTCAGCATATATCCAGCTTACTCCAAGTTAGCTCTAGCTTAGTAAGTATCTATGTATAGGTATGTACTCCCTCTTTCAACATGTACAGCCTAAACGTCTTGTAAACAGATAACTTTATTAATTTTAGTGTCGTAGTCTGTCGCCATCGCTACCACTGGTCCAAGGTAGCGCAGCGAAGACAATTCATGAAAGAGCTTCACAATTTTGAGAAAATGCAACCTAACGCGCTCGACGGCGTTAGAGTCCACAGAGAGTTTTCTCAAGGGATATTGTCACATACGATACCACCAAGACGATACATGCAAAAGTTAACACCAGACACACTTACGTCTAAGCAGCGCATGCGAGTCGAAGAAATTATTAGTGGGAAAGCCATTTTTAGTCACAAATAGATAAGCACTTGCAATAATTAACTTTCGAAACTACATTGAATTAAAGTGTTCAATATAGGAATCATATTTTTGCCAGTTTTCGTTTTTTAAAGTTTACAATTTTGTATTTTTTTTTTTTTTTATTTCGTTATTTTTATATTTTTTTAGGTAAATAATTTATATTATAATAAAGTTACTTATAATAGATAAGGAATAAAAATGCAATCAATTTTGTCTTTTATTCATTACGCATTTGTTTTTGTCACACTTTTATAGTTCTCTTTGTTACTGCATTATTTTATTCGTTTATACGTGTAAAAAGACCCAAACTTCGCCACAACAACTAGTCAGAGCGAGACGCTTAGACCCTGACCTGCTAACTAATACCTACACTCTATAATCATCCGAATAAGCAATACTCTGTTCCTTCCATTGTTTTCTGTTTTTACCCATGTACCTGTCTCTGTCAATATACTCCCAATATTCCAGTCATGAATTGTATGATCTTTGTAATCGTGTGATCGGATCACTCGGTAGGTAGCCCGTGCGAAGCCACTGTCTATCATCGAGTGCACCAGCAGTGACACTGATTACCATTATTAATCGCCTATAAATGATCGCGATTCTTAGTCTGTCTACAAATGAGGGGTTTTCTATGTTCATTATCCTGCTGGATATTTGAAAAAATTATTAAATAAATCCTGACAATATAACATTGATTTTACATTATAGCATTCTACTACAGATTCATCATTACTATCCTCTTCAACTTCTCTTTTATCGGGCACCTATAAAACACATAACACTCCTGCAACACTGATCCTCGGACTGTCAGTGTTTGTGGCCGAGTTTGCACCTGCAGAGTTAAATAATTTTATAGTAATTCAAATGGTAACTTCTATCTCCCGAAGAGTGGAGATCTAAGTCTACTATTTCGTAAATCTCAGTAGAACGATCAATGAAAATGAGCCTGTACACAGTTGTACAGGCTCATTTTCATTGATCGTTAGATACCTACCGCATTTGAGGGGGAGAGATTTGTGTTCATGCATGCCGTAGGGACCGCATGCTGTTACCGTTTTCATTAGTCGATGAGGCCCGCATGTGGGATGTTTGATTTTCTTCATCGCGTTTGTTTTAAAAGCTTCTAACACTATACGTAAACTGAATCCGAGCACCCCCTTTGCTTTACACCAACTGATGAATTTCATTGGTTGTTAGGCTGCGTATCAAAAGCGCACTTTCATTAGTGGTTATTCCGTATTAGATGAGTGATGATGATTCCTTCTTAAATAATAGTTCAGTTGCCTCTCATTCTTTCATTAGAGATAGATAATACATGAAGTATAATCCCACTCTAAATATTTTATAGGAAGAGAGCCACAGCAAATCCAGAGCCAGACCATGTTCATGAATCAAAAATATACTCGTATAGGCAATGGTATGTTTCATAAAATTCTAAACAGCTTTGCGTTACAATAAATTGTAAGCAGTTCGTGATATCATAAATATGTAACTACAAAATATCAATAATATTGCTACAGACAAAAACTAAATATTGTGGCTATCCCTTGTTCATTTTTTTTCAGTGCAAAGTGAGGTTCATAAATATCTATGCTTTTCTATGATATATATTTTGATATCTTAATTTTTTTTTCTTTGATAAGTTGTAACAATCTCCTTACAAAAGTAAATCCTATTGTAAAGATGGCGATTAACTCAAAATTATTTTACTTTTGAAAATTTAATCTGATGTTGACGGGTATCGATTATGTTGACATCTTAAAAGATGTATTTCTTCCAAACGGTAAAATTGTTTATCCCGATGGTCACAGAATCGAATTTGTACAGGACGGAAGTTGCGTCCACAATGCAAGAAGGGTCCAGGGGTGGATAGCTCAATAAGAGAATTTAACATTTAGCGCCGCCGGTTCATACATAAGTGCAAGATTTACCAGATTCTAAAGCTGGCAGCACCATTGTTAAAACCTTACACGGAAGTTCCCTACCTTATTGGAAATGTTAGGCTTTTCGAAGAACAAAATAATTATTTTAAAATACGTAATAAATTATAAAATAAATATTTGCCTAAGAAAATGTTATTTTAATTTAAAAAACAGACTGAATAAAAGTTTTTAACATATACCTACATATAGTCAGCGTTGACCCTTTTTTTCCGTGCGAAAATCCCCTCGTATACCACCTATCGGGGGCATGTCGGACTCGAACCGACTAAAACCGCACGCCGTCTCGGGTACTAATACTAATTCCGGGGAACCAGGTATACCCTAGAAAAGTCAGAGTTGACCCTAAGATTTCTTAGAACCTAATTAATCAAATAATACAGATGCTAAGAAACGTTGTCATAGTGATACAGTCCTATTACAAATGGCAACGTCGCATTATTACTTCAACACCGGCAAGCAAAAATAAATCTAATAGTAAAGGCCATATAGCTTAATATTAACAGAGTATATCATATATTATTGACTGCGCTACCGCAAAATATTTCTTAACAATTTCTATGATAACATTTTAGTGATGTATAAGTGTGTATGGAACTATATGATCATTTTTACGCTTACAATATTTTGAAACATTGGCATTGCCAATATATTATTGAACTCGACTGTACCTATGCCAAGTAGATACAAAGTCGCATAGATAACTTGAGCGAAATGAAATTGGTTTGCTATTTTCAAGACACCATGCATTTAACTAATATACATAGTCATAGTTGTTGGCAACAACATCAGTTGGTATAAACTAAGTAATACATTAAATACCAGCAACCGCCATATTATACATAATTAATTGGCACTCAAAATTTATCAGTTTTAATATGCTAGCCTTTATTTACCTCACCATTTTCAAACAGATCAATGGCGTAATGCTACTACCATATGGAACGAAGTTCCTTATCGCGCGTTAAGAAAGGGGGCTAGACGGAAAAAATTAAGACGATAAGTTGTAACGACACTTTTTGCTAGGTATAGTAAGCTATTGTAAGCCGTGCGGCGTGGGCATGTTTCTCTGTCTGTCTGTCTCTCTCTCTCTCTTTTAGAAAGCAAGAAATATATTTTCGTTTCGTCTTTGTTTTCGCATTCAACAGCGTGGTGTCGCGACGATTATTTTTGTTGAGTGTATAAAGGTTTTTTGTACAAAATAAATAATAAAAAATAATAAAATTTTATTACAATTCCTTCACTAATTAATCGAAAGGAACTTCGTTACATCCGGGTGTTCCTTGACACCACTCAAGTTTTTTTTATTCATTAGCGGGCTGTGTTATCACCTATTATACTCGTAGTTTACCTCTAGTTATACAATGCAACCTCACCAAAGCCACCAAATTCAGGCTCGTACAAACTCTTAACTTCCCCATCTTTCTATACGCCGCAGAGACGTGGACAGTCCGGGAGTTGTAAAAGAAGAAGATAGACGCTCTAGAGATGAGGTGCTAGAGGAAAATGCTTGGGATATTGGACAGACTTCCGCACCAACGTGTCCATACTCCAGGAGCTCGGCATCACAGAGCGTCTGTCAACCACAGAACAGTCGCGCATACTGCAGTATTTTGGCCATGTCTCTAGACGGAATACTCCATAGAGCGATTGGTAGTGCAGGGAAAGGTGGAGGGAACTAGATGCTGCGGCAGGGCACCTATGCACTGGACCGACCAGGTTGAGATCCGCAGTGGGAGGCCGCGTGTCTGACTCTATCCGACAGTCTGCCAACAGGGAGAGATGGCGGGCGATTGTACGAAAGGGCTGTGTCCGCCTCTACCGCCGGCGTGTACGTACATTGAGATGTGACCACGAGCGCTCTGCCAAGAGCGACACGACAGAGAAGAAAAAAGATACATTTAAATCAATTTGTAAGAGTATTTAATGTGGCGATAACAGTACTTGTACCTCTTCAAAATATTTAAAGAGTTAGGTACTCACACTCACTAGTACCAAATGTATAGTGCAAGCCTAGGAAGTTAATCATTTTCTACTAGCTTGCTACATTATACTAATCTGTGATTTTCTACTTATCTATTGATACATCAATGCTTGTCAATAGTTGCAGAAATAACAATGACATAGCGAGGAATTTAATATTTTATTTATTATAATTTTGTATTATTTTACACTAATCATAATAAAGCATTCTTAAAAATGGTGGTGGCACCTCCAACAGAACAGCCGGATGAGGAACCTAAAAGAAAACGAATACCTATATTCCCAGGGTTTCCCGAATTGGAAAGATCTGACGTCAGCATATATCCACCTTATCCAAAATTAGGTTTAGCTTAGTAAGTTCTATCTATTAATTCCCATTATATATATTTTTCTAGCCTTTTCGGATTATACCGCAAGATCTACGATGTTCATCATGATAGCCTATTATGAACACAGATAAACCTGATCAGTCTAGTCAAGGCCTTCAGGAACAGACCGCCAGTAAACTTTCCATAACAACATGGTCTAAATTTCATGTTTATTAATTCCAGTGTAGTAGTATGTCGCCATCGTTACCACTGGGCCAAAGTAGCGCAACGGAAACAGTTCATGAGAGAGCTTCACAGTTTTGAGAAAATACAGTCGAACGCTCTTGACGGTGTTAGAGTCCACAGGGAGTTTTCACAAGGTATACTGTCACATACTATACCGCCACGACGATATATCCAGAAAATGACACCAGATCCCCTTTCTTCTAAGCAAAGAATGCGAGTTGAAGCAATTATTAGTGGCAGAGCTACTTTTTAAGTATTACGGCACTTTAAGTCACAATTTATCGCTTTTTAGTGGATTTTTTATACTTTTAATATAGTATAGTTTATACATACTCACTACGGCAACATGCCTGCTATCATGTGACGATACCAGTGTGTTGCCATTGTGTTGAATTTGACAGACAACAAAAACCAGATACAAAAGCAGATAGCAGATTATATACCACTGGTAAACCTGGGATCCATATAAACGAGATATAATAAAAAGAAAGATTTACAACTTTTCTATTATTTTAAAAGACTGTCACTGGCATGGTGCCAATGCTGTGTCAATTAAGTCATTGGCATCAGACTAAGATTTCATAATGCTGTATTTTTAAAACGAATAAAAGCCATACATGTTTTGTAAATACTTTTTATTCATCACCCTGTACAAGCTTTTTTTTCTTCATCTTCTTACTCTTTTCAACATTTGTTTGTAAGTAGTGAGCCTCTTTCTTAGCCTGAGATATTTCAGCTCTAAGCCTTTGTTTCATTGCAGCTCGTTCGTAAGCCAGTCTTTCACTCAAATGAATCCATTTGAACCGTGGAATATATTTAATATTCCATATCATGTCATAGTACCGTGACCTCTTTCTAGTACCAATCTTTGTGTTATTTAGTTTGGTTGCAACTTCTTTAGCAACTTTCTTCTTTTGAAACTCTACCCATCCTTCTGAAAATTGGTTAGGTACTCGTTTCCGTTTCTCACCAGGTTCTGTGAAGAAATAATATTATTGTGTAAATGTATCAGTAAGTGTAAACTTCTTGTTTTACTTAATATATGAAAAACTCGTAAGAAAGGCATAACAAATCCTCACTGTGTATGTTTTGACTTGTAAACATGTCTAGCAGTTGATGCCCCACGGTAAGAAAAAGATAGTCTTAACAAGGAGTTCACTACATTTAAAAGTGCATCTTTTCCTTGTCTCGTTTGTGAATTACGATTAGTTTTAATTGATACTACAGCAGTAGGGCAACCTATTTATCTGAGACAATAATATAACCTCAAAATACTAACTGCTTGTGGACTGCAAGTATATCCGGCCGATTTCACCAAACTCACTGAATATTTCACGTATCTTAGCCACGTTCATATATGGAGGTATTGTAGATAGATAAACAATGCCTCGTTTCTTGGTTTTCTTGGTCTTTAATCTATTAGAAGAACCTGAATTGTTCTCATCTGCACCCTCTTCTGTGCTATCATCACAGATTGATCCGTTTTCGGGCACTCTTTCCATTTCAACTTTAGTCATATTTTACAATTTATAATACATTAATAATGGTATAAGTTGTAATGGTATGTTTTATTAACTGTTTACACTTCACAACTTTAGTACCTGGTGAAACCAACCACACATGTGATAATGACAGATAACTTTATACTAGTCAGAGTGATAAATTGTGAATTTTTTAGTGTCAGAAATGACGTTTCTTTTTAGGTTGTCCGTAGATTGAAATGTCAGAATTGACGTTTTTTCTAAATCATAGACAAGAAAGATATTAGCTAAATTGTGGTAACCATAACACAAGAAGTTGAGTCAGACTTCTTGTCTTTGACTGTTGACACTCTGACAGTTAGGTCAGAGACGTCAGAGGCGATTCCGTGGTGTGTGTGGTATTTTATGTTTATCAAACAAGTTCAGTCTCTATTGTTTGTTGTGTATAATTTACACAAAATAAAATAATATTGCAAGGATAATTAGAATCGAAAGAATACCATGGGTTGTGATGGAGGTACAATTCCACGTCGTGATGAACTTGTTCGTTTGAAGAAAAAACCAGAACAGGTACAAAATGTCACCAGCTGTATTATAAACTGACTCATTTCATCATTATAGTTTTGTTAATATTTTTATACTCTCATTTTAGAAAGATAAAGATGCAGAACGATCTTTCAAGTGGCGCAATTGCGCGTTAACACAACAACCGTTGCAAGAGCCCGTAGCTGCGTGTGGATTAGGCAGATTGTATAGCAAAAGTTCCGTACTTGAAGCGTTACTCGATAAGGAAACGAAGCCTGAGTCCATCAATCATATCAAAAACCTCAAGGTTAGTAAACTTTATTTGTTTTCAGTGTCAATTAGTAATATGAATACAATTTTATTTCCACATAACATTTTCTTTAAATATCAGTGAAATAACATAAACAATTAAATTGTCTGATAGGACTTTAATACATCATAATATGTAATTGATGCCTGTTTTAGTAAATTTTATAATGTACATACTCTCAATATGGATTTACTTATAGTAAAGGTAGAAGCACAATTGATACTCTGGGTTTATTAACCACTGACCATATGCATCTCAAGTAGAATATGTTTCTAATAAATATATTGAGATCAGCTGCACTCAGTTTTAATTGCAATGGTATTTCTTTTCTACCTCTAAATGTTCAGTTCATAGAAAAACGATTGATTCCCCAGGTTGACATTCATTCTGCACTCAAAATCACAGTCAAATTTCTTGGAGTTTAGTTAGGTTCTAAGTTGACTGGTTTTTTTGCACACATTGTTGTAAAATAAATGTGATAGAAACATCTGTTCCTTTTTTTTTCGAGTTTGCATTAATGTGGTAGCTAAAAATACAATATAAAAGTCAAAGAAGTTTAATATGGTGTCCTTTCTCTCTTTCTTCGTAAACAATTTCTAGTTAAAAGATTATTTTTAACCTATTCAAAATTCTAGTCATCCTCTCTTTTGCCATTCAATATATTTCTCTTATACAATCTCATAATTGAAACAATGTCATATTTTACGAATTCGGAATGCTTTCTCTTATACATACTATGAAATCTATTTTGATTTTGTATTCCTGGATACTCAAGGATTTCAGGCAATGAGAATGCAGATTCACATACAAAAATGCTGTTTACAGCGACTCTTGGCCATTTAGGAACATACTCCTATGATATTTGTTCATCCCTTCCCTAATTGATTTCTGGTCTAGGTTGTTGCAAATGTCAAAACTCTGTGAAGCAGTACCTCTACAATTTGTTGGTTAAGACTAAATGATTTATGCACTCCAGTTAAAAGAAAAAGTTATATAAAGGATGGCTGTGTCTACAAATGTGGCCTTAATGAACACCTTATATTTTTAGTTGTTCCAAGACCAAGTTTCCTATGATTAGTTGAAAATAGATTAGTAATGATTTCATAAATGTCTATGTCCGTGTAGTGACGGATTAAGAATACAAATTGTCACTACCCCAATTCATCCCGTGGGTGTCGTAAGAGCCGACTAAGGGAGCAAACTAAGCAGGACAACAGCACTGCAAAGAGAAGGAAAACTTGAAACAAACCCTATACCAACCCGTCTGGCCAGCGTGGTATAGTAGGCCAAAACCTCCTTTCTAAGGAGAGGCCTATGTCCAGCAGTGGACTAGTATAGGCTGTTGATGATGATGATGATGAAATGTCTATGTCCACAGCAGTGGACTAGTAAAGTCTGTTGATGAATGATTGATGATGAAATCATTCCTCCTCATATTCCCTGCCCCGCATCCCTTATATTAATTCTGACACTTGTTTTCACTCTTTTTGGAAACATATTAATTCATGATTTCTATGTCAGAATCTAAGACTTTTATATGTATATTTCTAAATTATATATATACTTATTTTATTATGCTTGTAAAAGCTATGAATCACAAATATTACACTAGTCTCTTAGTCCTCGAATAGTTCTGTCTATACCATGGCCCCATATAAAATCTTTTGAAATTTTGCCTTCCAAATACATGACCAATAATTAAAAGGGGAGATTGAACAACGTATATGTACACCTTTAATTTTTTTTAATTAAAGTTGTCAATATTTATAGGAGTCTTTAATAATTACAGGACCTAAAAGATCTTAAACTAGCCAACAATCCTGCATACAAGGCTAAAGATCACTCCGAGGGTACCGTGGGAGAAGGTAGTGCTCCCTACATCTGCCCCATTAGTGGGCTGGAGATGTCTGGCAAGTTCCGCTTCGTATTCCTGTGGAGCTGCGGATGTGTTCTGGCTGAAAGGGCACTGAAGGAAGTTAAACAGAATCTCTGTCATATGGTAAGCAATATTATTGGAATATATTTTTAGATTGTTAAAATGTGTTAAGCTTGTTATTAATCTTGCCATGCTCATATTAAAACACAACAATTGATTAAATTATATTTTATTTGCAATTAGCATAGTTATTATAGGAATGGTAATTATGTAAATATCTAATTAGTAATCAATGCTTCTTTTGTAATGCCAATAATACTTACGCTAATTAGTCAGTACAAAAATGTATTTAATGATTTTAATTAATTATATGCTCTACAGTGCCAGCAGCCATTCACGGATGATGACATAGTTATCCTTAATGGAACAGATGAAGACATTGAGAAAATGAAGGAGAAAATGGATATCCGGGTAGCTAGCAGAAAAAGCACTAAGAAGTCCAAAACAGACAAGGTTTTCATTAAAGCAGAGCCAGCGACACCTTCAACTTCTACATCCACTGAGGTTGTCACAGAAGCAGAGGTTAAAAATGAGAATGAAGTTAAGGAGGAACCAAAGGCAGGACCCAGTAATGCAGTAAAAAAGGAAATTGAAACAATTCCACTGTCTTTACCAAAATATAATCCAAATAAGCAAGCTAGAGGACATTTTGGATCATCAAAGCGTGTACATCCCACAGAATTAGCTCAGGACCCTTCATATAAAAAGACAAAGAAGGAGTACAGTGTTGCTAAGGACCCACAGGCAAGTGAAGTATACAAATCACTCTTCACGTCACACAAAAGTGATAAGAGCCAACAGAGGGCCCACTGGGTCACATATAATCCATTTTATAATTAATATTGTTTAAGTATAGGATAAAAAATAAATTTAATAAAATTATACACATTACAATTCCCAATTTTATTTAATATCGAATATTGCACTAGAAAATTGCACATAATGATTATTTTAAGTTTGCCAATTATTTTTGGTTTTGTGCTTTGGATATAAACTTATATTTTAATGTCTAATAAGTAGTGGAATGTCAAATACACATATATTAAGTATAAAAAGATGACCTAACTGAAGTTAGGTACAGTTGATCATAAGCATACATAATCAATATTATACTCATTATTAATATAATCAATGTACCTTATGGCGTATACTGCCAGTAGCCGTGATTTTAACGAAGAGGTAAAAATATGTCTAGTAAATATAAACTATCGCTACACAAATGGGCGTCCCAGATTCAGAGTGTCGGTTTTCCGAGTCTTTTGTATATTTTCTTAACTACTATTTAGATAAAAGTTAAGTTACACATTACATTATGACTTTACAACTAACCAATGGAATCCGTTTCAAAGTTAACAGAGTTATTTATTATATTAAGCATTTTTTTAAATAGCTAGCCAGACATCATGAACACGCTTACACAACTCTGACAGAACTAGGCAGCTGTTTGCCCTCCTGATCCTGTTCTCATCAAAGTATGGAGATTTAATCCATATTTTATTTGGTCGATTGCAAGTGAAGTAACCCCTGTACTACAACGCATAATGTACATGTAGGTTTCTTCATTTAGTGTTTAGGTCAAATCAAGCATTGGGCAATTTTTGATTTGCTACCCCACCGGAAAAAAATTCTGGGTACACCCATGACTTCATACAGTAATAATATGGTATTGATACATTACATAGTTATTTGTGTGTGTATATGTGTCTTTGTATACAGTATTCTTTTTATGTGTTTGTTACATTCAAATAACAACATATGCTACTATGACCTTTAGATATTACCTTCGGTAAGTACAGCATTAGTCGCTACAGCTGGTCATTATACTTCTTTTAAATGGCATTTTATAAGTGTCACACCTCTAAACATTGATAACTATTCTTTTTAAACAAAATACTAAGAGCAATAAATTCAACTATAGTCCAATAAATACACTACTATGACACCTAAAGTTACTGGATTAATTGCACTACATAAAACGACTAGATAAACATACAAAAGTTCAGCTATATGGTCTACGTACTATTTCCAATAAACCTTTTTTTAATAATACAAATATCCTGTGCTGCCTCGTCATATCTCCGAAATGTCATCACTAGTTTATTTTAAAAATCTTAGTCAATTTAAAAATAATTACAGCCAATGCCCAGTAACGTTATAGCAACATATTTTTTTAATTTTTACAGTGTAATCCCAATTTCTGTGTATGGCTTGAGTATTTTCATACATCATAACCGATTTTGATTAAATAAATAAAAATTTGGAATTGTCTATGCTGTCATTGTTTTGTACATGTCCTAGGCATTGGCATCCTGCTGTACGGATGCTAGAGTTGCCTCTATGATTAGATTGAAGTCCAGCTCGTTGAGACTCGCCTTAGCAGTCAAGAGGTCTAGAAAAGTGTCCAGTGGAGAGAGTCGCTCTCCTGAGGGTAATGCCGCTAGACCTGCAATTGACAATTAGAATGAAAAAGAAGTAAATAATTATAGGACAAACTTTTTAGTAGACTAATTTTTTACATTCAACCTTATTTTATGTCTATGTATGAAGGTAAATTTAATGTTGTATTATTGTGATTTAATTTGATTTATATGTAGGTATAAGTTAGGATATAGTTTATGTTTTAGTATAGAATTTGAATGAGTTTTTTTTTGAAAAAAAGAGAAAACTTATTTTGGTAGGTGCCACGTAATAATGTATTGGGGGTTAAAGTATGAAACCGACAATTTTACTGAAAAATTGAAACTAGTTTTTTTTTTCTAAGTTGTAACGTATATATTTAATCAAAATATTTACCCTCATTATCTATACATTGCTGGCATCTAAACGGAAGTTCGTTTATGACCTTACGATAGAATTCTGGGGATCTAGATTCGATGAACTGTATGAAAGCCACTGCCGACTGGGAAGACATTTTTTTATCACGTAGAAAATTGTCCAAATCAAGAAATAAATGGTAGTCCGTTGGAGCAAGGTCTGGCGAGTACGAAGGATGACGTATGGTTTCAACTGCAGCTCCTGTAGAGTTACAACGGTGTCTCGTGCAGTGTGAGGTCTTGCGTTATCATGGAGCAATAATGGTGGACATCGATTCATGAATCGGGGCTGTTTCACTGCCAGTTTCGCCATCATTGTTCGAAGTTCGGCACAGTAAACATCTGCTGTTATTGACTGATCAGACCTGAGAAAGCTATAGTGAATAACACCATGAAGAGACCACCAAACAGTTACCATTCCCTTTTATTGGTAAGCTGTACTTTAGGGCACTGTTGCGGCGTTTGACCTTTTTTTTTTTTTTTTTTTTTCCCCTCGGATACCACCTGTCGGTGGCATGTCGGACTCGAACCGACTAAAACCGCACGCCGTCTCGGGTACTAATAGCCGGGGAACCAGGTATACCCTAGAAAGGAAGTCCCTGGTACCCCGACATACCTCGGGTCATCTACAGACGAGTAGACGAACCCCCCTCCCGTGTGGGAACCCCATGTTCCCTGTGCTCCCTGGAAGCGAGCGCGCTTCGCAACGCGCTCGCCGCCACCCCGGCCTGCTTCTGCTAGGGTGACAGATGGCCTCACCTGTCACCCCCAGGCCTGCGCTGGAGGAGGACTGACGCGCCTGAGTCGCCTGCGGTACCTGGCCCGTTCCCGGGCCTGGCGGGCCGGGAGAGTCCTAAACCTCTCCCGGTCCCGCTCCGCCGTCTCCTTCGCGAGCATAACTTGCTCGTAGAAGGAGACGGCAGAGTTCCACGCACTCTCGCTCCGCACGATAGCCGCAATCAGGCTATCGAGCGAGAGAACTCCCACTCCGATGGCCGCCACGAGGTCTCGCCTCTGCTCAACCCACGCCGGGCACTCTGCCAGCGTGTGGAGAGCCGTGTCCACGGTCTGGTCATCGCAGTGGTGGCACTCAGGCGTTGGCTCCTTGCGGATCAGACACAGGTGATCCCCGAAACATCCCTTCCCAGTGATCACCTGCGTCAATCGGTATGAGAGGGTCCCGTGACGCCTCTCGAGCCAATCCTCCATAACGGGAGCGGCGTTTGACCTGGGCTCAGCCATTGCATGTTATCGTAAACAATCCACTTTTCGCCACATGTCACAATTCGATCCAATATTCCTTTCTTTTCTGTACCGATTCAACAAGGCAACACAAGTTTCAACACGCATTTCTTTTTGCAGATCAGTCAAATCATAAGAAACCCATTTTTCATGTTTTTTTATCTAATTGATTTGATGCAAATGAGTCAATATTGTAGGTAGGGTAAAATTCCTGGGTAGTTTGACTCGGATCGGCTTCCACTGTCTCCTTCAATTCACCTGTGTGGGCGGTCTTCCACGTGGTTCGTTCTTCAAGTCGAAGTTTCCATTACGAAAGCGTTTAAACCAAAAACGTTCATTAGCAGTCTCCTATCCAAACGCAGCGTTGATATTGCGAGCCGTTTCTGCGTTAGTTCCGTGTCGGAACTCGTATTCAAAATGACTCGGATTTTCGAAATATCCAACTTTCACGTCTAAGTTGAATAAAAAAACAATTGAAAGTCGAAAATCGAACGTTGCACATTTTTTAAAAGAAGAATCTCATATTTATCATGTGAATAAGTTTAACACGAAAATCTTACACTATGAAGGTTTTATGTCAATTCAAAGTATCTATTACTATAAAACGGCAATTTCATATCTTAACCCCTATTATTTATAAAGACTTTATGAAAAAAAATTAAGAAGAAAGTTGGTAGTACATGGAATAATATAGCATTTAATTCTAATAGTACACTGCGTCGTTAAATAGATTTATTACTTTCCAGAGATTCTGCTTTCTTACAGAAAATAATAATTTTCATTTTATTTAAAATCGAATATCTTTGTACTTCCGTAACATAATCATTTCCGTTTTCATCTAACACCTGACTAGGAAGTGGATGAAGACTGAGTACTAGGCATTTGAACTGTGTACCGGGGATTTTCTTTTTCTGGTACAAATAATGGTTAATTGTACCAGAGACGGCGTGAAAATCCGACATAACCGCCCCACCGGTGGGTGGTATCCGAGGAGATTTCCGAACTTTAAAAATAGGCATTTGAACTGTATACATAAGTGAAGAAAACGTAAGCGAGTGGTGAGCGCACAGACCGGAGTCGCCGACGGGTCGGTGACGCTCGTGCTCGTGCGGGTGCGCGTGGCCGCCGCTGAGCAGCGCGTGCGCGTGGTCGCGCGCGCGCAGCACCAGCGCCGCGCGCCGCCCGCCCCACGCCGCCAGCGCGCGCCGCGCCCGGCCCTCGCCCACGAGCTGGATCAGCCGCAGCTTGTTGTCCACTCGCCTCTTGTTGTCGTCGTCCTTGCCTACGATCGTAACGACATCGAAGGTCAAAATACGCATGACCAAACGTGCAACTAGAAACGAGCTCAAACTGAATCCGCTAAGAAACAGCTATACCTCACCATCGGTTAATAAATCATAATCATCCTTGGCTTCAAAATTTCGTATTTCTCCGATCCTGATTGCAATTGAACCATCTAAATAGTTTACGCTTTCCAACAAAGAAAATAGAAGTCTGAGGGACCGTACATATGAACATAAAGAAACGGAATCGCAACGTTTTGAAAGGTTATTTTTTTTAAATGGTTAAAAATGATAAGCATACTAAAACTATACTACAATAAATGAAAAAATGAAAACCAAACAATTCTCAAAGAGTAGCCAACATGCAGAAGCCTAAAATGAAGATATAAAAATATTATACAATAAATCACTGGTAAAAGTCAAATAGTTCACTCTTAATTAGCACATATTTACATCACATCCTACATATAGAACACACATTCAATTTAATTCTATAGAAATTCGTACAAACATACTTACACACGATAATTGCTTTCATAACATCAATTTGTAGTTCAAATACATTTCTGTGAACGTATTGAATGAACGAGTTGAATGGAAGTGTGCGATAGCCGAGGTATGTGAAGAACGAACTAAACCCCTGCGGCAACGGGAACGCTATTGAATCCGCCGCCAAATAATACTGTTCCAGCACTTTGAATACTATGAAAGCGTGTGTTGGATCCATTTCATCTCTGAAAAAGAAAAAATAAACGTCCATACAATAACGGCTATGTCCCCGAAGAGTTAGGTAGAAATTTATTAAACACCCACAACTATATTTCTAGTCCTATTTGCATCATAGGGGGGAAAATTATTGCCATCAGAAGGGACTTTAGGGATTAGATGGTGAATGATGGAAGTGGATAAAAAGAGGAGGCGATGGTAGAAAGAGGATATTACTTGCACGAATTGATTAGGGAATGTTAATAATGCTTTAGCACGTCGTAGGTATAACTACAAATTGGCTGTTCCTAGAAAGAGCGGGCTTCTAACGTAAAAAGTAAACGCAACACAAACAGTTAAATCAACATAATTAGACGTACTAGGTCCAAACAACAAAAATCCCAGAAATATCAATATAAATAAATAAATTTCAAATACTAAATATAATCAAACAGTTTAAAGTAAAGAGTTCCATGATGTCTAAATAATTATAACTCTTATTGTATTCAATAAAAAAAAAAATGTCTGCAATTATTCAAACTTTCATTTGTAATGCAAAATTGTTGTAATTGAAGGAAGACCTTTTAGTTCCTAGTCTTTTTGTAGATAAAAAGATAAAAATAGACATCTGTCCAAAAGTACTGTTTATCTTCATTTAGATTTAGTATAATAATATATTTCTATGAACATGTGATTCTAAAGAGATGGGTTGAATTAGAATGAACCAAAAAGTTAATTACAACCCAAGTGATGTGACAGGACTAGATTGGAAGCTGTAAGAAATAAATAGTAGCAAAAACAGAGGCCCATCGGTAAATACTGCAAAATAAAAATGAAAGCGAAACACAACTGTCAACAACGAAAAAAAAAGATGCACTAACAACCAGATTAACATGGACTAAGAACTTTTTCTATAAAACAAGTGTCTACCTCGCACCATTTATCTGTTAATTTCATTGTCAGCATTGGATAGGTTAAAAAATGCTGAATAATTTTTAAACAATATATTGAATTTATGTTTAAAAAAAACACCAAGCGTTAAGCGTGAAATACACCAGCGTGCGAGGCCAAAATCGCTTGATAGAAAAAAAAACCTGGCAACACCACAAACAAAAAAAACAAAGCGAAAACGGCAACATTAAAAGGACGGTGAAACATCTACCGAACACGACCAAATAAAACGCAGTGCTGTATCCCATATAGCAAAGACATCGTACATAAAGGAGAAGCCTCGTTGCTGGTTGTGTTGCGGCGTGGCGGCCAGGGGGCGCGTGAGGGCTCGACAGAGGGCGCGGGAGGAGTCCAGCTGCGCGGCCGCCCAGCGCGTGGCCACCGCGTGCACGCCGCTCTCCACGCCGCGCGCCGCCCCGCCCCCGCCGCCAGAACACTCGCGTATTAGGTGCACGCTCACTTCTCGTAGGTTCTGTTTAGGCCCCCGGTTAAATACATGTGAATATTGTAGTGAGAGAAAGAGACAGACTAGTTCATATCATGACTTTAGCCAACTAGCCGATTAGACGTTTGTAAGAAGGCCGACTAATAGGTGCAATGATCGACCAAGGCGATCACGATTTCGGGGGTAACCGACATTTTTCGTGACGCTTTGTTTACAACCGATTATCTAAAGCTTTACTTATGCACTATTTAGAGTGTTTTCGTGTTAAAAAATAAAGACTGTTATTATTCATTAAAGTGAAAGTCGAGTCGAGTCAATTTAATCAAGTCAAAAAGAAGGTCTCCGGTGTTGGTTTCTTTTATCAATTGAGAAATACATACTAAGTTACAAGCCGGACGGTTGGCGCAGAATAATCACCGACTAGTCGGCGACTACAAAAGTGGCCCGGGTAGTCAGTAAAGCCGACTAGTCAGAACACCTCTATTCAATATAGGAAATCGTGATCTTACAATTTCCTATACGTCCCACGGAATAGGAATGAGGCAGGAACTCACGGCCGCAATGATGTGTTCCTGCTTGCTGGCGGTGCAGACGTCGAGCTCGAAGAAGGGCAGCAGGTCCTGCGCGCTGCCGATGGACGAGCGGCGCTGCGGCGCGCTCAGCGGGGGCGGCGCCGCGCCCGGCGACAGCGGCGTGCTGCAGCGCGACAGCGCCTCGGGCTGACACACACCGTATCGCAATTAGAACGAGAAACTACAACCCTTATTCATTGCCGATCATAAATAAATAAACATTATATAGTATATATATATACTAGCTGACCCGGCGAACTCTGTTCCGCCTTAAAGGCAATAAATAAGCCGATTTTCGAATTTAGTAAGTTAATTTATTTCTTAGAAAAAAAAATGAAGTACATTAATCATTTATTATAGTTTCTGCATTTCAGTACATAGGTTGCTCTTCACTTAAGTACCTTGTGATACACGACATTTTTTCTTTTCTTATCAGGCGCAAAAACAAACAACGCACATGGTCTTCCGACCAATACTCAACGTTGCAATGTGTCTTGAACGTTTTAGAAATAAGTGGCCAATATGGAACAATCCAACTGTTGTCGACAACGAAATCCATTCTTTTCACTTTTATTGTGACAGTTCCACCGTTGTCATCTGGTGATCAACGCCGATACAAAAAAAAAAAATAGGGAATAAATAGTATCCTATGTCCGTCTCCTGGCTCTAAGCTACCTCCTCACCAATTTTCAGCCATATCGGTAAAGCCGTTCTTGAGTTATAAATAGTGTAACTAACACGACTTTCTTTTATATATATAGATATAAAATATTTATATATAGTCATAGTCATTTGATTTATAGAGTCTTATAGGGTTATCGTGATATTGTGTTTTCGTATGGAAGTAGTTTGTTTTAATCGAACCGACTAAAAACCACACATTGTCCTATTGCAAGAAATCAATATAAACGCATGACATAATCACGAGAGTTCAAATATTAAATATATTAGAACTTTCGTGAGTATTATTATTATTTATTTTTAAAGATTATTATATCCCAGACGATGGCGCAAAAGTAAGAAGAGCGAAGAAATACCCAGTAGGGTGTTACGATGTGTGTGTAGGGAGTGGTGCAGAAGCAGCAGATACCTGGTAGCAGTGCAGGCTGACGCGCAGCTTGTCGAGCACGGCGCCGGGCTGCAGGCGGGTGGCGCGCGGCTCGTTGAGCGCGGCCCACAGGCGCGTCCACACGTCCTCCGCGAACTGGCACACGCGCTGACGAGGCGCAAGCACCACCACCGAACTGTTCCACAACTTCTCCTGGCTCACCGACACACACGTGTCGCGGACCTGATAAAACAATCAAATAAAATTTACTTAAAAACCGTCTTACATAAATAACCAGAATTAAATAAAAATTTGCTTAAATTACTTTCACATCGGCGAACTTAAGGTGTTGCGTGAATGGCAGCATCTTCATAAGACTGAGCGCTGACGCCGGGAGCGATCGTCGTGTGACCGCATAAGTTGTGCCTATCAAGTACTCCTGCATCACTCGCTGAAAACTGCCGAAGCCATCGCGTTGGTTCAGACACATCCATGATATCAGCTGCAGAAAAACAACCGATACTTTAGGTTCAATTATTTCCAAATTTTATACACGGGAACAACCAACCAAAAATACTACATTATTTTCATTTTTTACATCACACACAGGGATACACGTTACTATGGGAATGTACGAAATAAATATGTGTACTAAGTTCAAAGTAAATTACAGTTAATTTGTAGAGGTAAATTTCATTTTAAATGTTCAAATATTTCGCCATTTTTTATGTATAGTTGGTTAGAGGTTTTTGTCTATTTAAACATGTCAACCCCATACGCCATATTGGCTCTAGACGAATTAAATTAAATGAAAGGCAACTTAATTCAATATCAAGACGAAATTTTTATAATCAAATCCAAAAAATAGCTAAATTCTATAACTGTGATTCTATAACTATAAAGGACTATCCTTACAAACAAAAAACCTTACACTCATTTAAACAAACTCAGAACACACCTTACTAGCATGCATTCTTTACCTCAACTTTTAAAGAAACTACTGAAACTACAGAGAGAAGGAAAACTTGACACAAACCCTATACCAACCCGTCTGGCCAGCGTGGTGTAGTAGGCCAAAACCTCCTTTCTAAGGAGAGGCCTATGTCCAGCAGTGGACTGTTATAGGCTGTTGATGACTGAATATGGTAATATCATGAGAAGGCCAAAATCGATCTAAGTGGTGTGCAATGGGAGAGACCTATGTCCAGCAGTGGACTGCGATAGGCTGAACATGATGATGATGATGCAAATTCATTATCACGCTTTGTGTCTATTAAAATGCCTCTATTACAGACATATCGTCCAACCCTGTACTCAGATTCATGCAAATAAATGATCACGGATTACAGAGATACACCAAAATAATAAAAGGAAAATTACCGTTTCAGCTAAATCCATATTCCCTTCGTGCTGAATTAAATAATGTAGGATCGCCAGCTTGTTTTCTATGGCTGTGTTCGTCTTAAACGTGGACGTAAGGTCTTTATCGGCTACTACCATGGTGACTACATCCAAGGTATTCAGGTCTACCATGGCGTTAGTCCCCCATCCCAGCAGGGGTGCCAAGGAAGGTCCGCTATCGCACGCTTCCATTGGTATAATTATGTGGCAGCATGGTTCGTGGTGCAGGCTGATGTCGATTAGCTGGGTGTACAGCATAGGTATGTTCACTAATAGATGGCTTTCTGGAAGGAACCATACAACGGCCTTATGGTATTGTTGACTATGTAAACAAATGTTCAGGAAATAAAAAAACTCTTAACAAAAGCCACACAGACGTAGTACGTTTATTCTTGTGTATTTCTTTAAAAAAGAAACAACTCAAACAGCTAGGTATATCATTTGATCAAAAATGTGGTTAAATGGTTTGCTAGATGTTATTTTTTTTTCGAATGGGTGTTCGAGTGAATGTTTGGTGCTATAATAGCTGTGTCGGTCACGATCATATTTGAAAACCCGATGTCTAGTAAAACCGACACGACGTGTACCAATTTCATCGTTTGTCGTACAATATCAATGATCTTTTATAAGTGATTCGATTTAGAGTTTTCTATGAAAAAGTTTATATTTTATATATTATATATACTTACATTTTGTATTAGAAAAGAGGGTGCAGGAGCGTATGTTATTTTTTTTTAAAGTGCTAGACTATTCTGCAAAAAAATTACCTATATTCCTGGGATATGAATATTATTTAGTCATCAGAATAACTCGCTGTTAGCGATAGGCGTGTATTTAACGTAAACGTAACACTTTAGATCATGCCAGTGAAACCTTTTATTGATGCTTTCAGGGGAAATGACTATATTGCAGTGGTAATTTATTTATTTATACTTCCTACAAATATATAAATAATATATACAAATATATTGCAAAAGGCGGACTTAATGCCATAGGCATTTTCTTCCAGTCAGCAGGTGTATCATTAGAGCAGATGAGACAATTTATTTTAAATTTTAGTTAGTTGCAAGATATAATACTACATAGATATACTGGGTATACATATATATAAATATAATTTACACGTACTATATAATACTATAAATATAAACATACACACAAACATATATGCCTGCAATGAAGAAGACACGAGTGGTTACTCTGATGACTCCGAGAACAAGCCTCCATAGAGCTTGCGTACTCTAATCTTGAAGATAATATTGTCGCCTGCGCAAATATCTGTTCATACGTCACAACGGCACAGATCTATTATTGCGTTACTAAAGTTTTGCACATACTGCATATTTACAATGAAGCAATGATCTTTCACCTACTTCCAATTAAATTGCTGATTTTGAAACTTCTGGATACAGTTCCAACATTTTATATTTCAATAATAATGAACGACTTTATATTTTTGTATTAAACAATTCATTGAACTGCATCGATTTCGTGACTTATTCTCGCGCTAGGTGTATGCTTATTTTCGGGAGAGGGCCGATCCCGAACGTAGAGGACGTCGGCGCCGATATCAGCCGTCGACGGGGCCGCGGGCCGCAAGAGAGTGGGGACCTCTGGTAGCAGATTGATTGCTGCGGTAGGGGATGGAATGGCCGGCCTGATTGCAATTGGTGTCAATTCGGGGAGGACCTGATATAACATGGTCCGGGTCCTCTCCAGAGAAGGACACCAAAGGCCGGCCGTCGGGGTGGTTTTTAGTGGAATCACCACATACTCCTGGCTCCTGAGTTCCCGAGGAGCAGGTGATCCGAAGGGTTTTTCCACCCCGTCAACACAAAAAAAAAAAAAGGTGAACTAGGAATATCTCCTGTGTCGCGGGGACTTTACCAACATACACGAAAAGGACAAAGAACACCCAGACTTAGAACAAGAATTTTTGGGTCACACAAAGTGTTGTCCCACGTAGGGATCGAACCCAAAACACTACGCGCAGTAGGAAGCGGCGAGGTGACAGCTTTAACCACTACGCCCTCCGTACAATATATATATATATATATATATATAATGTTTAACATAAGTACTTACCATCAGTCTATACATATATATATAAGTACTTACCGTCATACAAAGTATACGATGGTCTCAGTGACTTCGCTAAAGACCAAGGGAGATCAGGTACCACAGTGTGCACCACGCAGCCATGTTGTAATAGAGTTATGGAATATGCAAAGTTCACGCCCGAGTCTTTCAGGTCTGCACTGTCTTCCAATACGAGGGAGGTTGTTGAATCGTCTAGCGGCTGAAAAGATAGAATGTATTAAGGTATCTTTGCCAATCATCATCAGCCTATCGCAGTCCACTGCTGGACATAGGCCTCTCCCATTGATTATTATTTTATTCATTTGCAAAGAGTTTGATGAACTCTTTGCAAATGAATACCTATATTCATTGACATGTAATTTGAATACAGGTTGAAATAAAGGTGTAGGTTCTTTTAAGTTCCGTGCTCAGACAGTTTTTTTTTTCATAGTATAGAGGGAAAAAAATTTATAAAATGTCTGGCAGCGGATGGATTCGTATTACCCAAGACCCAGGATGGTTGGCGCTCCTCGGGCAGCATTCGGGAAGCTGCGTGAACATTTTCTCATCCGAAATACAGCATTGTCTCAAGACAAAAGTCTTTGACCAGTGTGTATTGTCAGTGATGATCAGCACAATAAGCCTGTGCAATGTTTTTTATGTATAATAGGTATGTATTTACAAAAAAAAAGTATTCTTTCAGTCAATCTAGCTTTTATAGTACAAACTCTGCTTAGTTTGAAACTAGATGGCGTTGTGTGTCAGATGTCCGAAAATATTATTATTTGTAAACACACTTGTGTGTGGTGTTGTATTCAATGCTTCAACTTACTTTATACAAGTAATGATGACAAATGCACAAGATCCCTCGTTGGTCACACACTATCTGCAGGTCGAGACTGCAGTCGTGCACGCGCAGCGGTATCGGATCGTCTTCGTACGCGCCACATGCGGCGCCTTCGCCTGAACTCGACACGTGGGGCAGACTCAGGGGGATGTTTAACTGTTTGACAAAAAAATCCATCTTAATTATTAGGTATTAATTTATATAATACTTATAACACAAATTAATATTGTTCAACACCCCTGACACCATCAACAACCCAAGGTTTCGCTGCAGTATCAAGACAAGTATACAATATCATTTTTATTTTATTTTTTGTTTTCCTTTAAATTCATATCCTAATTTTAAGTATGAATAGGTCCAAAATACAGGCTTGCCTAACCGGTCCTGATGTAGTGCTAGTGTAAACATGTACCAGCTGTTGCGACTGGGAGAACGCTTCCATCAACTAATAAATGAGCTGATGATCTTCACAAATTAGAGCTAAGAACCTTCTCATTCACGCCAGCTTTCAAAAAAAAAACACTGCATCACAATCGGTTCATCCGTTTAGGAGCTACAATGCCGCAGACATACACACTTTTAACTCAACAGTCACAAGTGCGTTGCCGAACTTTAAAATTCCTTTCCTTCCACTTTTCTTCACTTCAACTTTTACAAAGAGCTGGTCAAGGTAACTTTTAGTTAACTACTATGAATAGAAGAGAGACTACATATGAATTCATCTATTTACAGTCGAATTGTCCACCTCTGCCTGTAAGAACTCGCTTTATAGCGACAAGGCCACCATTTGTATCTACATGTACAGTCATGTTTCTTTTTATGTTAGAGGGGGCAGATGACCAGATGGGTCACCTGATGGAAAGTGACTATCGCCGCCCATGAACGTCTGCAACTCAGGAGTCACTATTCTTATAAATAAATCTCTAAATATTTCATTTTGCTAAAACAACATTATCGATGACCTTTAAATTGTTTGCGTAATACAATTGAATATGCAATACTTACAACAGTCTCGTGTGGCAAATCCGCGTGAAATTGGAATGCAGACAGCGTCGGTGTCATCTCGGATGGCGATTTAACTTCTTCACCTTCAGCGAAACTCTGTGACGACTGGCGGTAGTGGATGTAGTATAACACCTGCAAATAATCCATACTTTTAATATAAATGTGAAAGTGAGTTAGTTTGTGTGTTACGTTTTCACGCCTAAACAACTAAACCGATTTTGAAAACTCTTTCACATATTAAAATTTTATCAGCGAGGAACATAGTTTTTACCGCGATACCCGACATACACGCGTGCGGAGCCGCGGGCTAAAGCTAAAATAATGTAATTAGTAAAAGTAATGTAATGACACGTGTCTCTCTCTCTTTCTCTTCTAAAGATAGTGCACATAAAATGCCATAGTAGTTAGAGCACAAGCTTGAGGTTACAAGGTGGACCTACAAAATGTTATTTCAAGGTTTCAAAGGTTTTTTTTTTAAATGCGCTATAATGTGTAACAGTGACACAAAGTGGTTACATATCCTGTAACAACTTTGTGTAATTGGTCAGGACGCGAATGAAATTAACATTTAAAAAATGTAAAACCTATATGTATTTTTAAGATTGAAATAAGGTTTAAACGTTAGGTGATGCCCTTAGGTACATAAGAGAAAAAGAAAGTGACTTCTTTTTCTTTTTTTTTATGTTATAGGGGGCAGACTAGCAGACGGGTCACCTGATGGAAAGTGTCCATCGCCGCTCATGAACGTCTGCAACCCAGGAGTCACAAACGCTTTGCCGGCCTTTTAGAAAGGCGTACGTTCTTTGTATATTATAATTAGTACGTTAAAGAATGTTTCAAGAACTGTTCATATACTTTTGAACATAAATATTTTTATAACCATTTAATACGCTTACTATGAACTCTCTACCGCATAAATACAATCTCATAAATGTTTTTATGTCACGTAAATATTTTGTATCACAACACATGAACACAATTTATGGGCCACAATTGAGTCTCTTCAACAAAAATTTATCAGTAAGCCGTAGAGCATAATTATAAAATTCACGAAAACAGGAAACAACGATAGTGTGGTTTGCGGTATTCTGAATTCTACTGTTATGTATATTTGTAGTTGAGCCAGCTAGAAATTAAAAAAAATGAGATTTTTTGAATAACTTTCAAGTCTAATTTAGTGCTTTGACAGTTCTTCTTCGTTTCGAGCCGACGCCCGGCGAGTTGTGGAAGAACGCAATTATAAACTTGAAACGTTGAAAGGTAGAGTGAGCAGGTCTTTCTCGATTTTCGTGTATAAGTACTCGTAGGTAGTACACGAGAAATACCAAGTCACTAATTTCCACTAGCTAAGTTGGAAAACATGGCTATTAGCCAATGAAACAGGCGTTTGTTTTAAAAGAAAAGACAAAAGCATTGATGACTTTTGATCATGACAACCAAACTACTTTCATCATCATCATCATCATCAACAGCCTTTAATAGTCCACTGCTGGACATAGGCCTCTCCTTAGAAAGGAGGCTTTGGCCTACTATACCACGCTGGCCAGACGGGTCGGTATAGGGTTTGTGTCAAGTTTTCCTTTTCTTTGCAGTGTTGTTGTCCTGCGTAACTGTTGTTATCGCGATATCACACTTAGCCCTAATACATAGAAAGGAGTGAGATTTGCTATCAGACTTTATAGGGGAGAGAATGGTAATTGTAACAAAGTTTTCTTTAATATTTATGCCGGAACTCAGCCGTCCGCCGAATACTTCGGCGAACACTTCTTCTTCCAAATCCCACGGGGGAGTTCCGGCCAACGCGCATGCCACCTCCGTCGAAACGGTGCGGTAACCGCTGGAAGATTTAGCTGTCATATATCCCTAGTTATTTCTCTCCTGTCTAGATATTTTTTCTGGAACTGAGCCTCCACAGAATTTATATTTTATATTTATATTTTTTTATTTTTTAAAGTGTCGAAAACAGGAGAATTGAAAAGACGTACGTTACGTAGCAGTTAAAAGATCTGCATAATTATGTATAGCAGCAAAATAACGTAGTTATTTATGTGGCTCAATAGACAAATGGAGTTAGTATAACATTGAACAAATAGTTTTTTTTTGTTAAACACACCAATCTGTGGAACTATCTGATGGATTTGAATGTATTACATTTTATAACCCAGCTTTTTATTTATTTATCATTAAACATATTTAATAGGTTAATAGTAAAATGACATTGATACTGCATTTATCAAGATATCATTTTAGGAATAGACACTATAATAAAATGAACTTTCTCCTCCACTCAGACAATTTGTTTGTAAATCTTAAAATATTATTAAATATTATTTATTGAATTGCAGTCAGCTCCAATTCTTCGTTTTTCACTAGTTCACATCCATGTTCTAACATCTAGGATTAGTAAATTTAGATTATATTCTTTAAATTTATTTATATATATATATATTCTTTAAATTTATTTAATAATGCTTTTATTTATGACTAGCTGACCCGGCAGACTTCGTACTGCCTCAATTGATAAATGAAAGACTTAAACTTTTGTATAAAATAAACAAACAAAAGGAATCCTTTTTTTATGAAAACAATTAAAAAATGCACGGAATTAAAAAAATAATCGAGCATTTTCATATTTATTCACCTTTTAAACCTTCTCTGGACTTCCACAAATAATTCAAGACCAAAATTAGCCAAATCGGTAAAGCCGTTCTCGAGTTTTAGCGAGACTAATGAACAGCAATTTATTTTTATATTTATAGAGATGAAGTTATGTCAAAATGAGAAGTTTCCCCCAAAATTCTCTTGTAGTCTTAGGAGACACAATTTTTTTTTAATACTCTAATGTACTTTGATTCAAAACATAATTACATTAATTTGCCCATTGTTTAATACAAAATTTTATGCTTTAAATAATACATTACATACCTGATTGACACAATCCCATTGTGCCCATGAGAACACTTTAACAATTTTCTCAGGTTCTGTATATATTCCATCAAAACCCCATTTATCAGTGCCATCGTCACATTCATTCAGGAACATTGGTGTGCGATATATTTTAATACCTGGAAATAAGTACATTGTAAGTTTCTTAAATGAATATCAGACAACACATTACACATGTAACTATTTGCAAAGTGATAATAATAACCTCACACACCTCAGACACGGCAGTCTGATCCCAAACTAGGCAGAGCCTGTACTAAAGTAACCAAACTGCTTATAAACATACTTAAATATTTCTAAATACATACATAAAAATTATAGATAAATTACAGCCAGGCACAGAACAAATCATCATGCTTATCACACAATATGTATCTTGGGTGGGAATCAAACCAGTCAGCAGGTTAGCAGTCAGGGTCACTAACCACTAGGCCAACAGGCCCATCAAGTATGAAGTATCATGCAACACATACACACAGGCATAAATACATTTTGTGTTATTGAAATGTTTTTAATTAAAGGAAGTTAGTGACTACTGTAATATTTTTATCATTGAAATAGGGGCCTCCTAATACATATGTATGAGAAATAAACAAATATTAATAATATTTTAAGGTATTATCAAATACTCACAATCCAAATGTTTGAATAATAAGAATCTATCGTTTCTTATTCCAGGACTATATTTAGTACTTTTACCATAAACATACTGAATCATGATCTGTTTAGTTGAAGGTTCTTCAACTACCTCTGGAGTCCTGTTACTTTCGGGCAATAGACATATCAAATACGGACAGTATAATGGGTCTTTAATCTCAGAGTTGTCACTTGGCAGTTTCTTCACAATGTACACCATCAAGGTATGGGTAGCATTTACTGATGCCTGTATTATGTTCAATTTCTCTTCAAATGTATGCAGTATGATCAATGTCTTATTTTTATTGGTATATATTCCAATGTTTAAAACCTCCTTGCTATCTTTATTATCTGACACCCAACTCAAGATTTGTGATCCATGCTGCTCTTGGCCTAAAAGACGCCATTCTCGGGCTGTTACCACTGTAAACATAGATATAAAACAATGTAGTACACAAAAAACGCTTTTTACGAAAGATGTAAACAAAAATAGATAATTGCTTTAAGTTAAGACAATATATATGGTTGTAAGCCTATCTATAGGTTTTAGGAGTTTATATTTGGTACCATATGCAGCAACAGCAGTTTAACCGCTATCATAGTTACCTTGTTCACTTTGCGTTTGTAGCACACCGCACAACTTCACAGCTATATTTTGCACAGCCATTACGTCTATTTATCTGATATTGACTTTAAATTCACCTGTCGCTCACATAATTTATAAATTATGTCACTGTATCGCCACGTTATCAATACTGAAATAGCGCACCTTTATTGACTTTTCTCGCTCAATTTTCTATCAGCTGGCGCCCAGCTGAGTTGTAACATGAAGATAGCTGTTTTAATGGATGCCAACAGACAGTGAAACAGATCATTCATGATTGTGGCAGCACTGTAGTACTAACTGCATTAACCCACCAATCAGAACTAAGCGTTGCTTTTCATAACTTGTTTCGTTTCACTCTTAGTTAATTGATGAAAATAGCAATATTTATGGTTTAATTTTATTTGTAAGCGTTTTAAATTTAATTTTCATACAATGTAGTATTCAACTCCTTATACATGAAATACTCGGCTTTAATTTTATTTATAAAATAGATAAATTGTTAAGTTCTACACATACATCTGTCTTCGAATAACAACTAAGAAAATTTACTGTCAAATAACTAAATAAGATATAAATTAAATATTTTTAAGTTCTTTATCTCCTTTGCTTCATTAGCCGTGTAGCATTTGTTTTTTCGCTCATTTTCTGCGTATAACGAAGTATAATTCCAGATTGACATTTCGTTTTCAGAAGAAATAAACCTGAAGTTAGCCAATAGTTTACCCGCTGAGTACCAAAGTTTTACCGCGACATTTTCGCGCGGAAAGCCGGGCGTTATCGAGCCGTGAAAAGCTGAAAACTATCATGTAAAATAAGTAATTACCACAAAGTGTAAAGTATTACGTATATTCAGTGAACATAGCCTTAAACGTGAGCAAATTTTGGTGTTTTTCGTTCTATATGTGTTGAAAGTTCTTGGGTCGTATCTAGTACACGAACAAACTACATTTTGCAAAATTTGGATTAATTTGTGAATGACCAGGTATGTTATGAAATCATATTTAAAAATTCTATAATGTAAGATATCTGGTGCCGTAATATGCGTTAGTAAAAAACTAATGCTTGTAGGCATAATTAGGTTATAAACCTTTGGTGGGCGATAAGCCAAGCCTATTATATTGTCAACGGTTAAATCGTATTTGGAGGATTTGTTTAGTGCAAATTGTAATGTTTCTATTATTTATCGGTAAAGTGAAGAGATCATATCATCCTAAGGCTATTTTTATCAATTTCCATAAGTGGATGTGTCGAGAAACCCAAGCTTGCGACGTGTCTAATGGCGCTGACGGGAGAATTTCGCGCGCGATTGTGACGGATTCGTGGCATTTTTTACCGCAGCTGATTCATGAATTTCGATTTATTTAACGCTCTATATTAAAGTTAATGTATTGTAGCGAATATAAAACATCATAAAATGTGATTTTTGTAAAATTTAACACGTTAAAACAGCCTCGAAAAAAATACTCCCGCCAATCAGCAGGGGGCACGCTGTAAGTATCGTGGGCTTTTAATGCTGTTTTACGGTTTGATACTTTAAAAGTACAGTGCTCAGACGTTTGCAGACAGCTTCATTTTAAAATAGACCACATGCCTATTACGATAAATTTGGAATTATGCCCTCAATTACGGTTGTCAACTGACATAACCCTATTTGCAAGTTGAACATGACATGCGGTAATTTTAATCCATATTAACTAAACTTAGACACTTCATACTGCTGTAATTACATTATATACTTAATGGTGCTTATGTTTTAGGCTGTGGAGACTAAGTGCCAGTTGAAATATCCCAACTACAATGGCACAAACTGGGTATGTAAATTACACTAGCTCCCACATTCAATACTGACCTTGATGTTAGGGTTTGTTTACTTACTGTCACCATCATGCCTTTGCAGTTCCTCCAGTGAAGCCAGTGAGAAGCGGTTAACCTTAAAACGTAAAAGAAATTCCACAGACGATGAGGTTTGTTTCCTTTTGATATTTCACCTTAATGTTGTTTAACTTACAGATTAGCTTATTTTTGCTTAATGTTTTTAGCTTGAAAATATGCCACCATTAAAAATCTCATCGGTACTTGAAGAAGAACTCCTTGACCAGCCAGCTCACAATGTTGTAGTAGAGTCATCTTCTTGCTCCAGTGATGATGAAAGCTCCCAATATGGGATCAATGACCAACCAAGGAGTGTGTACACAGACATAGATTATAACCCTGACAGTTTTTTGAGCCCACCAAGTATATCTGACCTTCCTAATGGTGTACTGAGCCCCTTGGAGAATGTAGCTAGAGGAGAGTCTACACCACATTCAAATAAAAGGCCTAGGTATGTTCTATTACTATCTTCTATTACTCTAAGACTAACACTAACTACTTTTCAACTGCTACCAAGAAAAATACCACATGAACATTGATTTCTATGTAGAAAGTTCAACAAACATGAAAAGAAAAAAATTGCTATGTTTATCATTTTCAGTCTAATTTTAGACACATGGTATTTTATGTTATTGCATAACTATGCAATTTTTCTCTTAAGATTTTCATTGTCTATGTCTGACATTCATGTGACCTCTCACACAGATATTAATTAAGCCTTCCATTTCAGTACAAGCAAAATGCCATGCCCCTTGCCAAAACGCAAGTGTCCCCTGCCAGGTTTGTCCTGGGCAGACCCAGCTGATGTGTGGAACAGTATGTGCGATTGTGATGCTAGATCTAGTAATAAGAAGAATGCCAATATGTTTGACAATCATCCCAATTTACAACCGAGGATGAGAGCTATTCTTTTGGACTGGTTGAATGAGGTAAGTGACCATTTTATTATAACTGATAGGCATTAAGAAATTTTCCGGAACTGTCTTCAAATTATTCAACTTGATGAATACTTAAACATCAAGTTAAATAAATTAGTTAATATTTAGATAGTTATTTTCTAGATTTATTTAAGATGGAGAGGTTGAAGATTACCATATAGAAATCTCTGTTTAAAGGAGCTCTTTATAACTACATTACACTATTACATTATTGTTGTATTAAATGTGTATTAAATAATAGATAGTGTATTAAATGCAGAAATAAATCTATAACTACTGAACAGTATTAGATAATTTTTTAAACAAATGTATATATTCTGTGGTGGTCCTAATTAATGGTGGTTATCTATTGAACCTATTACTAAATACTTTCAAATTTTCATGCTGCATTACAGTGAGAAGGAAAGGGTAAGAAGACTTCTTGCATTGCACATGTATAAAAACGATAGTACAATAGGGTCAATGACCCGTTTTTTGCGCCGTACGTTGACCTTTTAACCAACGCGATTTTAATAAAGCATTTGGAGTTTGTAAGCTCATCTTTCCAAAGTAATTTTCGACTCTGTCTAGGATATGTGAGTGGTGGTTAATTAGTTCCTACAAGGTCAACTCGTCAATATCCTCACAGGCGTGGAAGTTGCGCGAGGTCCAGCAGTATCTGTAATTTTATGTGACTTTTGATCTGGGAATATCCCCGATTTAGCTATCCTATTGCAACCGCGTGTGCGGTCGGCAGAACTATTATTAAAAGAGTGATAAAATGCCAAAAACTTTAAGATTCCCGTACCTACGCTTTCTATTGCAAAGATTAATAAACTTCACCAAAAAAAACTTTTTTAGAAACACGTATATTCTTTACAAACTAAGAATGTTTTGAGTATTATTTTGAAAGCGTTCATTTACCACTTGTTTTGCGCGCGGCTTCGTACGCGATAATGTCGATTTTGTCAATCAATTTTGCCGATTAAAATCTATTTCTGTACCAAATTTCAGCTTTTCTGTCGTAATTCAGTAACAAACATTCATCCATCCAAACTTTCACATTCATTATATTAGTATAGATTGTTCATGAGTTTTCATATAACTAAACCTTAAATATTACATTTGGAGCAAAGCATTACATTTAAAGCAAAGCTTTAGATAAGAAGGGTTATGTTCTGGTTCAGTGCAGGTACTAATTTAATTTGTTGAGAAACTGGAACACTATTGTGAGAGGTGATATCGCTACACAGATTAAAGTTTAGAAGTGACCGGGTCTCGATACACAGTGACGATTATGATACAATAAAAACCAATGCGATCGGCAACCTCGATAACATCGGATGCTTTTAAAATATGCCGACTGCAGCATCTAGTATTGGTTTGTTTCTAAATTTTTCGTTTTGCATGAATATTCGCCGTATAAATCGGACCTAATCTCTGTAATAATATTTACAAGTCCACCTGTGAACACAATCGATACAATTCGATCAAAGCTTCGGGTAAACAAAACATATTGCGCGAACGCATACGTTATTTGTAGATAAAGAAGTATCTATTAAAAAAAAAAAGGTTGCAATTGATTAAACCTTGTAAAACCTTTAAAAAAATCCATCGTTACACTCGCAGGTAACACAGGTGAAATTCATTAGCAGGCAATCCTTTTCACAAACTGAAAAGTTTACTCGTCCAAAGAGTTCAAGTTATCATTTCTAGAGTAACACACAGAGTGTAAATCCAAGTTCAGTTTAATTTCAATACAGATAAAAACTCTCAGATACTTGGGTTGTATTTACTTATTTTCGAATTCCGTTATATTAAAATGCACAGTAGTTCCACAGCCTACCAAAGGTTGGTGAGGATGATTTAAAGTATAGCCGCTGTCCCACTTTTCTGCATTAACTTGGATCTGTGCCTAGCCTCAAAGAGATTTTATAGAAAATTAGACATTTTGTTTATAAAATTTACAATGATTGGACCCATAGATAAGATACAAAATTGCAGGTCTTTGTCTTTTTTCCAATTAGGCGGCTCTCTATCGATTTGGTAGATATTATCCTCTTCTATAATATTACTTTCGTATTAAAAGTTAATATGCTCAGAATTTCAAGCAGAATTTTATAATGCATAAATATCACACCATTATCATGCTACGATTTTTTATAATTTGCTTGCGACGAGTTATCAATAGTATATACTCATTTAAAAACCATTCATTTATGAAGTAAATATAAATTATCTATAGATTTTATAACATGACATGAGTTTATATCGTGTATGAACTTGCACGAGATTCCATAGCCGACACATTTAGAGTCAGGCCAGTAGATTCTGTATTAGTTATGGTAAATTATTTTCGTGAACCTCATAGATGGGTCCTACGCAAGTTAGAAACTTAGTATTATGTACTTAAATATAATACACCGTTGTAAGTGATGGACTAGCAATAAACACCTGAATACTGGTAATGCATGCTAGCGCTTTTCAAATGTTAAGGTAACTCTTCTAACGGCTTCACGTAATTATGAAAAGTTCAGAGAGACCCTTAGACCATAAAGTCTTTTGAACCTTAAAGTTTATAAACATTATTTATGTTATCTTTCTTAAAAGGAAATACGTATGTGTTTTCAGTCTATAAGTCCATTAGTCCTAGTGTTCGCCCAGTGGTCGAAATTCGACCATAATTCATTTATTTTTAAGTTAGTTTCAGTAACATTATTAGGGTTCTTTTTAACCGACTTCAAATAAGGAGGAGGTTCTCAATTCGACTGTATTTTTTTTATGTTTGTTACCTCAGAACTTTTGACTAGGTGAACCGATTTTGATGATTTTTATTTGAAAGCTGGTGCTTCCCGTGTGGTCCCATTTCAATTTGGTTCAGTTCTGATAGGGGCAACCATGAGAAAACCATATAAGTCTTAAATTTGCATTCAGTATGTTCGCGACAAACAGACGAATAACCAATATCACGCAAACCGATTTCGATAATTCTTTTTTTATTGGAATGGATGTACTTTAAGGAGACTTTGATGAGAGTTTGGTTAGATTCTGATCATGGGATCCACGACAAAGTAACGGAACTCTTCAATTCTTAGGAGCAAATTAACGATACTCGGCTGAATCTTTTATCACCGACAGTAACGACGTTATGGTCAAGTAATTGTTGTCATCAATAGCCATTACTAGTCCACTGCTGAATTTAGGCCTCTCCTTAGAAAAGAGGTTTTGGCCTACTATACCACGCTGGCCAGACGCGTTGGTATAGGGTTTGTTTCAAGTTTTCCTTCTCTTTGCAGTACTGTTGTCCTGCGTAGTTTGCTCCCTCAGTCGACTCTTACGACACCCACGGGATGAAAAGGGGTGGTGACATTCTGTATTCTTAATCCGTCACCACAGGGACAGTAACAGACAGTAACGGAAGTAATTGTCGTAGTCGAATATAATGATCAATGAAACTCCTTAACGGCTTACAGTAAGGGTGCAATCTGTGCCATCTGTGTATCTGTGATAGAATAGACAAACATTAAGACAGTTAGAATTGCCACAGATTCTGTGGCAATTCTAACTGTCTGTCTAAGTCGAAGTGAACGAGTTTCAGGTGTTTCGTTTGATAAGCGATCGTGAATCAATCCGAGTCGGTGGGCACGTTGCTCCTCCGCCTCATTCGCTAGACGATCGTTGATCAAGCCGAGACGGTGACTACGTTTTTCGATATTTTCCCTGTTCAAAATCTTTTTCATGTAAAGCCGCATTTTCGAAAGTCTATTTTTGCGCTCTTCGCAAGTCTCTTTTGAAATTGTTCTCGAGGTAGATTGCCTCTGTTGAGATAGGCGTTTCTCCCTGACTTCGCTTGTTACATTCAAACGGCGCTGTCTTATATGAGCAGCCATCATTGTACCCATATTCAGAAAAATTAGTACGTGTACTTCAGATTCACTAAAAAATCAAAAAATAAACAAAATTTTGAACAAAAAAAAAACCTCTGACACTGACAAAAACTGACACCGACTCAAAAAATAATAATAATTGCAACTACATTATATTCATTTCATTATACTTAGGAGAACTTAAAAAAATATTTCGATCGTTGTTTGTTATTCATAGGTATGTGTTGAGTTAGATTTGAAGTGGGTAGGTACCTACCTTCTTGCGTGGTAAACACATAGATCGTACCTACATATTGATGAGTAGAAAAAGTAAGTTTATTATTAAGTTGTAGAAGAAAATGCAGTTATTTTTTTACTTTTTAGTGCATAATAATTTCTTTTGGAATAGTGTTTTTTAAAGTCGGGTTTTTTTTTTTTTTTAATTTTGTTTATTTTGTTAAAGACATATATATACTCTCTATAATCCACCTCTCTCCTCCTCCTCCTCTATAATTATACTTTCAGCGTGGCTATAATGTATTTCTAATGCATTTTATATTTAAAAAAAAAATGCACATTTCCATATAAACGTTAACTGTGTCAAATTTCACGTTTATTCGTTCGCGCAATTTTCTTAAAAAGGGGTACAAAGTTTTCGCTTTAAGTGTTAATATATAGATACCTAATTCTTACTGTCACAACTACCGATACGATAATCGTTACGTCTATTTTAACCTGATCCTAATTATCAAACATTAGTTAATCATTAGAATTACAATATAAATATAATACTGTATACATTGTAAATCCATTGTACGCCCTGCGGGCATTAAGAAACAGTTGATAGCTTAACCACGGTCATAGGTTAATCTAAGGACTTGTAATATTTAACTGAGCGTGACGTTTCTATTACTAGAATGAAATTGAGCGAAGGAATTCCTACATGATCCTTATATATTTATTAACTTACATTTTCCTGAACACATATTGTATACTAGTTTTTGGCTTTTTGCGGTTTTCCCTACCATGTCGGAAGATTGGACTATAAAGAAAATTAAAATATTATCATTAAAACTCCATTACACCAAAATCTACATCTGTATGCATGAAACGCAAAGAAACAAAGGGTCGTGGTTTTCCAATTTA